TCCTTGCTGTGTCCTGTGCTGGTGGAGGGGTGGTGGGAATGTCAAGGTGAGGGCTCTCTCCCTGTGCTGCAGACAGGAGCCTCCTTGCTGTGTCCCGTGCTAGTCAGGGGTGGGATGGGGGTGGGAGTGTCAAGTTCTCTGGCGTCTCTTCTAACAACATCACTGATTCTGTCACGTGGTCTCTCCCCTCATGACCTCCCAGAGGCCCCATCTCCAGGTAATATCACATGGAGTCAGCACTTCAACATATGAAGTTGGGGAGAGACGATTCAGTCCACAGTACCCCAAATGCATGCAAAATATATTTAGTATGTTCCAATAGATCCAAAGGTTTTAATTTGTTCCAGCATCAATTCTAAAGTCCAAAGTCTCAACTAAATATCATCTAAATCAGATATAGGTGAGACATAAGGTATAATCCATCTCAGGGCAAAATCCTGTCTAACCAAGAACCTATGAAAACTCTGTGTGCCCAGTACAGCCATGGGACATGCATCTAATAGACACTCCCATTCCAAAGAAGGAAGCGATGACAGGTCCCAAGCAAGTCCAAAACCAAGCACAGGGTTAATCAGCTCTAAGATTCAAATAATATTCTCTTATTTTTATGGGTTTTAAATAAATTTTATTGGCTATGTCTAAGGTGTACAGCATGATGCTCTGGGAAGCACGTGCACAGGGAGATGCTTCTACAGCGAAACCCACCATCTCAGCTGCCCCATTCGCTGCTGTTACTGTGTCAAGAGCAGGTAAAATCTACTCATAGCAAAACAATCAAATGCAGTATGATTTTATTAACTACAGTCCTCGTGTTGAGATAAAACAGTATTTTTATTTCTGTGTCTGGTTTGTTTAACCTAGTATGACGTCCTCTAGGCTCCATACTCATGCTCTGGCAAATGGAAGGATCTTCTTTTTAAAAGTGGAGCATACTCCATACACATACACACACACACACACTCTCTCTCACATGCGTCTATCGTTTTATATAGTGACACTTTGGTTGCTTCCATTTCTTGCTATTGCAGACAACGCTGCACTGAACGTGAGGATTCATGTGACAGTGACTTCCCATGGCAGTGACTTCATCTCCTCTGGGTATGTGCAGAGGGACCGCTGGGTCACAGGGTAGCTCTGTTCGTACTTTCTTTAGGAACCTCCGTTCTGCTCTCCGTATCTGCTGAGCCAATTTACATTCCTTTCCACGTATCCAAGGGTCCCTTTTTCTTTCACCTTCACCGAGAGTTTTTATCTCTTTTTGATAACAGCTATTCTAAAGGATTTGAGGTAATACTGGAGCTTTTGAAGTACATTCTATAATGATTAAAGGTGTTGAACACCTTTCTCTGGCTTTTTTTTTTTTTTGGACACAGTTTCACTTTGTCACCCTTGGTAGAGTGCTGTGGCATCACAGCTCACAGCAACCTCAAACTCTTAGGATCAAGAGATTCGCTTGCCTCAGCCTCCCAAGTAGCTGGGACTACAGGCACCCGCTACAATATCCAACTATTTTTAGAGATGGTGTCTTGCTCTTGCTCAGGCTGGTCTTGGACTCCTGAGCTCAAGCGATCCACCTGTTTCAAACTCCAGAGTGCTAGATTACAGGCATGAGCCACTGCACCTGGCCTACCGGTTAGCCATTTTAATGTTTTCTTTGGAGAAATGTCTATTCAGGTCCTTTGCCCATTTTTTAATGAGGTTATTTGTTTTTCTACTATTGAGTTGTTCGAGTTCTTTATAAAGTATGGATAGGAACCCATAAACCCATAGGTAATATGGTTTGTCAATACATTTTCCCAATTTGTGTGTTGCTATTCCATTCTATGCTCTCTAAAGGAGGAAGTTTGATGATGACAGAGCTACGCTCTCTTTGTCTGATGCTCTGCCCTTGAGACCACTAGGAGGGCAGCTTCACTACACTGCCCCAGCTTGAGGGGTGGTTCACCCCTGGGCTCTGCCAACTAATTCTACCCCAGGGCTTCTGGTAGAGTTCACTGGCCTGCTAAACCAAAATCCTGATGATCCCTGAATCACCTTCAGAGTCACTTTCTGCTCTTGAAAAACAGCACCTGTTGGCAGCAGAACAGCCCCACGTGCTGTCCTGTTGAACCCAAGAGCTCCCCACCTCCCTCCACTCCATCCCATCTCCCCCCTTCAGTTCAAACTGGTAATGCTTCTGCTTGTATGTTGTCTTTATCAAGTGATAGTTCAGAAACACCCTTAGTATTCTCTTTAGAACATGCTTTCCCAATTTTTGAAAAATGGATAAGCTGAGAATTTTGTACATCTTCAAGTTCTGGTTCCTCTAGGCTTAACAACATCTTCAATTCATCTCTCTCTTTTCATACTTTACTGTAACTAGTCAGGAGGATTCAAGATGCTTCTTCAATACATTGCTTAGAAAGCTCTTCAGCCAAATATCCGATTTCACAGCTTGCAAGTTCTACTTTCTACAAAACATTAGAACACAGGTTCAGCCAGGTCCTTGTCACTGTGTAACAAGGATCACTTTTCCTCTATTCTCCAAGAAAATGTTCCTTATTTCTATCTGAGACTCAATAGAACTCCTGTTTATGTCCATATTTCTAGCATGTACCTTAAAATTCTTCTAGCCTTTACCCATTCCTTAGTTCTAAAGCCATTCCCACATTTTCAGTTACTTGTTACAACAGCACCCCACTTCTAAGAACCAAAGTCTGTATTTGTCACTATCAGACTACCATAATATAATATCATAGATTAAGTGGCTTAAACAATAGAAATTTATTTTCCTATGGTTCTTGAGACTGGAAATCCAAAGTCAAGGAGCCAGCAGGTGCGGGTTCCGGGGAGGGCTGACTCCTTGGGTTGCAGACGGCAGGCCTGCGCTGTGGGTGAGGGGCAGACGGCCTGTGGCTCGCTGTGGGTGAGGGGCAGACGGCCTGCGGCTCGCTGTGGGTGAGGGGCAGACGGCCTGCGGCTCGCTGTGGGTGAGGGGAGGGAGGAGAACGCGGCGGGCAGACGAGGAGCTGCAGAGAGTGTCTCACACAAGCTGTCTGGGTCTCTCCTTCAAAGCCACTATTCCCATCATCAGACCACGTTTCCACAGCCCTGTCTACCTAACTACCTCTGCTTTGTCCCTGAAGTTAGGAAATACACTGCCAGGAAGGGACTGCTTTCTTAAAGTTCTTTTGATATTGGACTTCCCTGGGGCTACAAGAGAGCCAGTCAAAGAAATCATGAAAGAGATTGTAGATGTGGCAAAAAAGTGTGTGTGGGGGGGAGAAATAAGATAAAGCTCTTGGAGAGGTTCAGGAGCTAACACACCACACCAGAGAAATTAACAGAAGGCACCTTGATGGAGATGAGCGTTTTGGAACCAGCTTGGAGGAAGATTACGCAGGGGTCCTCAAAGTTTTTAAACAGGGGGCCAGTTCACTGTCCCTCAGACTGCTAGAGGGCCGGACTGTAGTTTAAAAGGACAGGTAGTGGCTAAGCAGGACAGGCGGCAGCTGCAAAAACACCCAGCTGGCCGGATAAAAGTCCTGGGCGGGCTACATGTGGCCCACGGGCCGTAGTTTGAGGACTCCTGCTAGAGGAATGAGAGCAGGAAAACAAACTGACACTAGACGGTCTCGGTTCCAACTCCTCAAGAGGGTTCTGACGTCTTTTATGGCCCTTCCATAAGGGCACTGAAACTAAAGCACCAACCCTCTTCTTCCTCCTCCTGGGCCTGCTCAAGTGAAGACAGGTATCAAACCTTCCTGATGATCCTCGACCACTGAAAAAACTGTAAATATTTTCTCTTCCTTGTGCCACACCTTTTGGGGGCAAGACAAAATTGTAAGAGGGACTTGACCTAACAAATGCAATCAGTGCAACTTGGTTTCTTGTACTCTCAATGAATCCCCAACAATAAAATTTTAAAAAAATTTTTTTCTCTTCCTTATCATTTTCTATTCTCTAACTTACTTTACTGTAAGAATACAGTATATAATACATATAACACAAAACATATATGTTAAATGACTCTTTACGTTATAGGTAAGTTCCAGTCAGTAGGATATTAGTAGGTAAGTTTGGAGGGGATCAAAAGTTGACCATGGATTTTCAACTGCATGGGGGTAGTAGGTGCCTTTAACTCCTGTGTTGTTCAAGGGTCAACTGTACACAAAAGTTTTAGCTCCTAATCAGGTGGTTCATTTCACATATCAACCAGCTACATGTCTACGGTCAAACTCAAATTATCTGCAAATTGTTTATGAGTAAATATAGCCTTGTAGCTAGAAAAAAAAACTATCAGCATTCTTTCAGAAAGCTAACCTTGCATTTACAAATCAATTAAGTAAAAATAAAAAAATCTGTAACTTCCACAATGTATATTTCTTTTAAAACATTTCCTTTGAAATATAATGTTATGTCTGACATAGTTCCTTGGCTTTTTTTTTTTAACAAAGTCACATAAAGCCATCGCTAAAAAGATGTGTCCCTGGAAAGCTGAAAGGAAGATGCATGGGGTGGGGAGTCGTATTTCTTCCCTGCTGTCTTTACCCTCTGCTTTAATAAAGGTTTACCAAATGCCTAGGATTGTTCTAAATACATCTAGATATAGCAATGAGTAAGACAGACAAAGTCCCTACCCTCTTGGTGCTTACACTCTATGGAGAATTAATAGATTAAACGAAGTGAAGAAGCAGGCCTTGTGATGGAGCCCTGTAGGCGGGAGAAGCACCCTGGGCCCAAGAATGCACTCTGCCTGTTTTAGAGACAGGTACTGTGTGACGAGTACAGAGTGCGTGACAGAGAATGGAGAGAAATAAGGTCCAAACAATGGCCATGAATTGGTTTTTTTGAAAAAATAAAAACAAGGCGGTGCCTATGGCTTAGTTGGTAAGGCGCCGGCCCCATATACCAAAGGTGGCAGGTTTGAACCCATCCTCGGCCAAACCACAACAAAAAAATAGCCAGGCGTTGTGGCCGGCACCTGTAGTCCCAGCTACTCGGGAGGCTGAGGCAAGAGAATCACCTAAGCCCAGGAGTTGGAGGTTGCTGTGAGCTGTGTGATGCCACGGCACTCTACCAAGGGCAATAAAGTGAGACTCTGTCTCTTAAAAAAGAAAAAGAATATAGATTTATTTGTGAATACTTCTGTGGTTGAGTCTAGAAAGTATTCACAGACTTATTTCAGATCAACATTTATAAATAGTTACAGTCAGAATCAGTAAGCAACACTGGTAATTATCATGTACTCGTTCTCTCAAGAGGTCCTTTGGTTTAAAAATAGTGGTTGTTGATTCTTGGTGGAAATTTTTCCAAACTTTTATGCATGTTGGCCTGGGGAAAGATTTAATGAAGAAGATTTCAGTGGCAATCGCAATAACAATAAAAATAAAGAGGACGTAATGAACCAAAAAGCTTCTGCACAACTAAGAGACACAACAATTAAAGCAAATAGACGACCTTCAGAATGGGAAAAGATATTTGCATGTTATGAATCTGACAAAGAGTTGATAACTAGAATCTACAGAAAACTCAAATTAATCAACAAAAAAGAGCCAAGAATCCCGTCTATCACTGGGCAAGAGGCATGAACAGAACCTTCTCTGAGGAAGACAGATGAGTGGCTGAAGAACGCATGAAAAAATGCTCATCATCCCTTATCATTAGAAAAAGACAAGTCAGAACCACCCTGCGATATCATCTAACCCCGGAGAGAACAGCCCACATGGCAAAATCCCCAAGCTGCAGCTGCTGGTGCAGATGTGGAGAGAAGGGGACACTCTCACAGTGTTGGTGGGACTGCAGACTCATACAGCCTCTTTGGAAAGAAGTGTGGAGAATCCTCAAAGAACCCAAACTAGACGTTCCAGTTGATCCACCCAGATGAAAAAATATCATTTTATCATAGACATTTGCATTAGACCATTTATCACAGCTCAGTTTACAACTGCCAAGATGTGGAATCAAACTAAATGCCCATCAACCCAGGAATGGATCAATAAACTGTGGTATGTGTTTACCGTGAAATATAATTCTCCAAATTGATCTTTTCTTTGAGTTTACATTTCACATATTATTTTGGTTTTAAAATGAATACATATGTTTAAGACATTTGGATGAAAGCTTCTAAGTTTTACATACAGGAATTTTAATCGTCATGGAAGAATAACTTTTACTCCATTATCTACACACTTACAGATAGAACAGGGAGGTTTACTTGGGTAAAAACGTCTTATAATGAAAAACCCAATTTGCTCAATCTGGAGAATTTCAACATGGGAAATACTGACCTCAGGAGATAGCACAGAGTAAGCCTGGGGGGGTTTCTCCAGGGACACCGGGAGGCAAAACTGGCCCGTCTTCAATCGTCCATTCTGAAGCATCGGTATCCACTTAGAAACAAAAAGAAAACAATTTTAATATAAGTATGTTATAACAATAATTACTTGGAAAGCCTGTTTTAAGAGCTTGACATAAGCCAAATTCAAATCATCACCAAACCTGGAGAGATTTAATTATGTAACTCGTAATACTAAGCCTTCCTAATTCCTCCAGAGAGAGGTTTCTCTGATAGTATTTTACAAAGGAGGACATTCCTAAAATATCATTATTACTAACCCTGTGATATTTAAATCTATAGGGGGTCCTTATTACATACGGGAAAGTTGAGCTTAGAGAATGGCCACAAACTGAATCAATTTTAAATCAATTTTAAAACAGTCACAATGTAAACAGGAAAGAAAGATTGGTTAGCTACGAGTGCTAAAAACAAAACCAAAAAATAAGAATGTAAATTTTTTCTTATCGTTGGCAAAATTCACATCATAAACTGCAAGAGACAAAAATGATGACTCAAATGTTGATTTTTCTCTTTTCGGGGAAAGCGTGATTTTTCTGACAACACTGTGTGATAGCACATCAGGACAGCCTTGATCTTAGGTTTACCTTTGCAATTCACTCATAATTTTTGAAAAATATTCAAGGTTTAAGTTTCTTTTTTTTTTTCTTTTTGAGACAGAGCCTCAAGTTGTTCCCCTGGGTAGAGTGCCATGGCATCACAGCTCACAGCAACCTCCAACTCCTGGGCTCAAGTGAGTCTCCTGCCTCCGCCTCCCAAGTAGCTGGGACCACAGGTGCCCACCACAACACCCGGCTATTTCTTTTTTTTTTTTTTGGTTGTAGCCATCATTGTTATTTGACGGGCCGGGCTGGATTCGAACCCACCAGCTCAGGTGTATGTGGCTGGCACCTTAGCTGCTTGAGCCACAGGCGCCGAGCCCAAGTTTCTTTTTTAAGGGTCTCCTTTACCCATTCGTTCAAATCATTCTCTTCTGACCAAACTTTGTAACTATTATATTTATAAATACTATTGAGTAAACAATCAGGACAAACACCTAAGTGTTTATATGCATTAATTAATTAATCAATCTTATCAGTTAACTGCACTAATGAGCATTTTTTACTATGATGATTCTCCCTAGCCAATGCAACTTCATAACTGCAGGGAATCAGAGAATATCCTAATAATAAGAAACATCAACTATATGTTAAATATTTAATTACTTTTGATATCAAAGCGCTAAACATTTAACAGAAAAGACTTACTGTATATCCAACTGGGGTTTCCAGAGGAGTATTTTGTTTTTGTTGACAACTAACATGATAAAAAGTAAAAAGCAAGTGATGGTGGTCAGTTAGAGTAGCAGGGAGTTTAACCTTGATCTCTTCGTGAAAATCAGGAGACCTTCATATAAAAAAGGAAAAAACAGAGTCAGTAATGTGTTCAAAATAAACGGTAAGTGCATTGGTTTATTTGAATAATTTAAGAATTAATTGTGCTTAACTTTTCCTCCAGTCTAAATTTTTTTTTTTTTTTACTCCCAATCCCTAAATAATTAAATCCTATTTTCAAATGAGGGAGCTGCTACGATTTCTGCAGTTTCTCATTCCATTTTTATGAATGGGCTGAGTAATCCTACGATTTGAAAATTCATTAATAATCACCACTTTGATTCTAAAGATCTAAAATCTTCATTAGATTGGGAACTGTGTAAAAGAGGACACGAGATTAGGGCTTTCTATTTTAATGGGCCAATTTCGACACCAATTACATAGAGAAAATAGTGAGTTTTGTAAGTGTATATCATAGAATGGTACCATAGAAAAACAATTTTTATGTTTCATTTTAAAATTAATTTGCATCATCCTTTTGTAGAAAAGGAAAAAGGTATCTCTTAAAGCTTAATGTCGAGTTGGGCTTTTTATGAACTGTCTTATATCAATCATCTCATTGTTAAAGAAATAAAAAATGTTACCAAACTATGGCTAGTACTGATTGACTGCTTAAAAAAAAAAAAATAAAGAAGAAGAAGAAGAGAAAAGAAAGGAAGATAAGATCAGGGAATGCCCACAAATTGCATTAGTCCCCCCCATTTAGAAGCATTCCCAGAAGATACTAGAATATAACAAATCATGGATTTGATGAAACCAAGAGCACTTCCTTCTCAACACTCGTTGAGGGGCATTTTTATTGAAAAATACGGCTGTTATTCATGATATAGACTTATCACACCCATCTTCCATATTCAGTTAGTACCTCTCAGGATTATATTCAACAAAACTGCAAGCAAACCCTATGGCCCAACTATTTTAAAGTGAAGGTTATCCCACCAACTATGGTTTTTTTCTTACACGCTAACAGGTCAAATATCCTTCTATCTCCAGCGCGTCTCGATAATACTAACAGGTGTAGATTTGACCACAGAAAATAATAAGTTGGACTAGACTTTTAATAACACCAACAAGAAAGACAGCTAATGCTAGTCTCCTGAGAACTCAATGACCTTGGTGAGACAACCAAAAGGGCGCCGAGCAGCTCCTGACTGGTGCCACCGATCACCACTGGAGTCTGAGAAAGTTTAATTTACCAGCAATGCCCAGCAGAACCATCATTTTAATTCCACTAATGCTGACAGCAACAAAAATAAAGACCTAGCCAAAGCTGTTATGATTTTAGAAGCTCCAATCTTCTTTATCAACGTGTTTCTTGGTATTGAGTGTTTCAGTTCATTTCAGTCCTGAAATCACATTATGTGAAGGATTTTGTGAAAAATTAAATATCTAAGAGAGTCATGGACTCAAAGAGTAGATTTAACTGCCCACCTTCAGGCTAAATATTGTGTTACTTTTGTGGTAACTTTAAGATGAATATGAAAAATTACTTTTATTAAGTATAGTAAGAATATCAGTAAGACACACACATATATGCTATAAAACAAGGTTGGCAAACACTGGCCACAGGCCAAATCCAGTTCATTGCCTAATTTTGTACAGCCTGAAAATTAAAATGGTTTTTACATTTTTAAATGGTTGGGAGAAAAAAAAATCAAAAGAATAAAAATACTTCAGTGTGAAAATTTTATGGGATTCAAATTTCAATGTCTATGAATGAAGTTTTATTGGAACACAGCCACACCTGATTCTCGCAGCTTTACTCTCCATCACAGCTGCTTTGCAGTACAAGGCAGAGTTGACTGAAAGAGAGACCATATCTGAAGGCCTGGAATACAAACCACCCAGTCCTCTGCAGAAGTGTTTGCCAACCCTGGTCTTAGAGCATATACAGGTAAGAGCTTTAAGAAAGGAGCTGAACAGATTACTTCAAGTTTGAGATCAGGGAATTATGATTTAGGAGGTGACATCTGGCACTGGCCTTAAAATGAGCAGAAGTTCAATAAACAGAGGGAACAGATATTATAATTTTTTAAAAAATCCATCAAGAATGGCTCAGAAATAGGAAAGCATGGGATATGTTTGATAATAAGGCAGAAAGAAAATGGATATTTAAAAGCTGATTGGGTAATGAGGTAACAAGAGCAAGAAGGCAAAGATGTCTTAAATTCTGAGCCAGAGTAACGGAAATATGGTGGCCCTATCAATAAAAATGAAGAGTCGGACAGCGACAGGGTCCGGGAAAGAGTCCAGGAGAGCTACCTGGAAACTGAGAAGGCAGCGGGGCACCCGAGTGAACATATTCAATAGGCCCCTGAAAATAAAATCTGTATGTCAGAGAGAAGGTTATGATTGAAAATAAAGAGCTGAGAACAATCGGCACAAACAGGAAAGAAGCAGACTCTTCACGGATGATGAACCTGGGCGTTACACGTGAGATTATTCAGGAGAACAAGGCACTCGAGCCTCGGTGGAGTGGCTACATGCACGGGAAAGAGGACAATTACTACACAAAAGGAGTGTTCAAGGGTAGAAGAACCAAGAAGAACCAAGACAGGGTCACAGGACAAAGGTAAGACAGAAGGACGGTTTCATGAGGGCAAGGAAAATACACACCATACATCAGCTTTGAGAAAAAGACTTTCGTATTTTTTCTTTAAGCCTGGGAAACTTAAACTTCTTCCTGAGAATCAGAGATGGGGGCAATGAAGGGGGAGACTGATGAGGCAAAAGAAGGGTAACTAATTCATATTCTGGAGAGGCTGGACAGGACGGCGTGAGAGCAGAGGTGAGAGCATTTACCCTGAGCAGGGACTGAGCCGTTACTCCCTTCAAAACAGAAGGATTGGCATTTCAGTAAGGAGATCCTGAGGTGAGGAGCGGAGAGGTCTCAAGTTGGAGGGTCTTAATAAATTTAATGAAAGGAACGCTGAGAGTAAATTACACAGAAAAGAAGTAGGAGCTGGTGCTAAGGGAGAGGGAAGATTTTAAAAAACGATGATGGTAATAAGAGACCAGTGGGGCCAACGAGAAGATAAAACTAATTCCTGCAGCCCCATCGTGTGGTACGATAGCATCGATTTGTAAAAGTCCTGATTGTGATCATTTTCTGGTTTTCTCCAACAGCGTTCAATAAACCCTGACAAAGGAAGCAGAAATGAAAGGTTATGCAAAGTCGGCAATTTCTCAAGGAAGTAAAATGGAAAGCCACTAAATCCAAAGATTACTAGGTGCTGAGAACACCCTTCATTTGACTACGAGATTTGAGCTTAGTAAAGAATTCAGGAAAACTACAAAGTACCAGGGAAAATAATTGGGAAAGACCAGAGGACCAGAGGCCACAATGATAATCAATCACAATATAATAAATACGAGAGATTCAGAGAATTTGACAGAAAAGACATTTTGTGTACAAAGTCTTCTATCTGAGATGTCTGCGGAGAACGGCTGTGTGTCTACAGACTGGGAATCGTAACTCTGATGTCAGCTCGAACCTGGCACGTTCGGTGCAGCAGAGTATCTGGTACACACGCTAAGGTGAGCGCTAACAGTGCTGCTGAGAAGTGAGTAACTTTGAAAGAAATATTGGAATTCAGTACCTGTTGTGATATACTACGGCTGTGTACGCTTCCTTTGAAAATTCTGAACAGCTAGATTTACCAAAGATTACCTGAAACAAATAACAGCATGTTGAAACTTTGTTGTAATAAATGCTGGATGTTTCATATCTATGTAAGAATTTGTCTGATTTAATAACTATTTGAGAAAAATGGGCAACATCGGCCCAATGAAGAACAATGTGCCTGAGGACGCTCATTTAAAAGTTCAATTGCTTAACTATAAACCCCAGGGGCGGACCCGTCTGACATTCAAACATTCGAAAACTTTTATCACCTGTATTTATATCTATGGGTAGTCAGGTACATTTCTCTCCTTTTTCTTAAAGAAGGTGAAGAATTAATTTTAAAACTGGAAACAGCATCTCATTTGGAATTTACCGAAGGAACATGACCCTACAGTAGTGCCATGATCACCTACACAGACCACTGGCTTTTCCACCAGGTCAGCAGAGTCACCCTGAAAGTCAAATATAAATTATTTATAAATTATAGTAAAAATCCTATTTTAGGCCAAGGTATGGATCCCTCTGCTTCTAGGACTACTTGCAAGCTATTGTACAATGGAGGAGGCGCTCCATTCTTAAATTCTTACATAATGTGTGGTTTTTCTTTTTTTTTTTTTAAATCCACCACATTAAAAAAAACAACAACATAATACTAGTTTTGGAAAAAATTAACAAGTAAAATAATTCAGCCTTGTATATCCGCCCTTTTAGTTCTAACAGTCACATGATGGCTAATTAGGACTGCTGATTAAATAAATGGTTTAATGATGTCAAGGTCATAGTTCTAACTCCTCTGTGAGATAGTTAGATTTGTAGTATTATTTAACCACAAATTAAACTCTTGAGTCATCTAGCTTTCTTTATGTCTGCGTGAATACGGACGTGGACATGTCCACATTTCCATCAACACGATTGGTAAAACAGCCCAGTGTTTCTTCCTTTATAAACGGATTAATTGGCATAGTCCTTAACTCAAAGGACAGATTAGCAGATATTCCTGTTTCTTTTTCCAACACTTCAATCGGTTCTTTTATTTTAAACATATGTAAAGTGTAATAACTATGACTCTCCTATGTAGATAGTATTTCATCAAATTGCTAACACCTTACTTAGTATGTTTCCATAAAATGTAGTTCTAGGCCCAGAATTACGAAGTTTACAATTTTTTCATGCCCATGTAATATGATCAAAAAATTATCTTACAATCCGTTTAAATAGTCCTTATTTTTAAAACCTAAGCAAACACAGTATGCCCATATTTATACACTCTTTCAAAACAGACACATAAACATAAAAACATATATTTCTAACCAAAACACAAGCGAAGGAAATACAGTACTTTCACTGCAGGGGAAATGACTCCCCTGAGAAGCCACCACTTTTCATAAAATAATCTGTTTATTTTCACAACGTGAAGGATACCAAGTGGAAAGTGTTCCCTTTTTGACCATTTAACATGTACTTTTAATCCTTCAGCAACATGCAACCATGATGGACCAAGCACTGTGACAGGCATTGAGATAGAGGTACGAGTAAGACACAGTCCTTGTCCTCAAGGAGCTCGCAGTCTAATGGGCAAGATGAAGAAATAAACACACAGCCAGAAAGCAGTAAGGCTCCTGGAAGGAGAGATGTTATGGCAGCACCAAAAAGGGAGCAGCCTAACTGCCCACAGAGGCTGGTCACACCTGGGGCTCTGCAGAGGTGGCCACATAGACGCTAAGCTAAGACAGAGTTTGATAGGGCTGGGGGCAGTGGCTCCCGTCTCTAATCCCAGCACTCTGGGAGGCTGAGGCGGGTGGATGGCCTGAGCTCACAGGTTAGAGACCAGTCTGAAAAAGATCTCTAATAAACAGCCGGGCATTATGGTGGGCGCCTGTAGCCCCAGCTACTTGGGAGGCTGAGGCAAGAGAATCACTTAAGCCCAAGAGTGTGAGGTTGCTGTGAGCTGTGACGCCACGGCACTCTACCCAGGGTGACAAAGTGAGACTCTGTCTCAAAAAAAAAAGAAAGAGTTTGTTAGGCTAACAATAAAAACAGATTTTACCAATGTTACATTTGTCATAAGCTCAAACTCATGTGGGAATTCACCTACAGGCTGACAAAGCATTAATTTCAGAACCTGGTACCTTTTCATCAATTCCGATTGTACACTCATCCCTTGAGCAGAACTGAAAAACCAGTAAAAAGCAAAAAATGGCAATTCCAGACTTCAAAAATAAACTCTACACTCTTTCCACAAATATTTGTTCGACACACTTTACATATAAGGGTCTATAACAGATGCCGTGGAGAATACAAAGATGAATAATTTGTGTTCACTGTTGTCAAGATTCACAAATGTTGATGAAACTCAGGCAACAGGGGAAAAGAAAATAGATCTTTCCTAATAGGTGGGAAATTAGAAGAATTTGAGTAAAAGATGGACGCAGAAGAATAAAATAAGCCTGCTAACAAGGCACCTATTCTTAGCTCATTTCATGGCACTAGGGTTCTCAAAGGTTGAACATTTTCAGTGATAGTTTGCATGTTACCAACTTCAGTTGAGCCAAAAATCTATTGTCATGGAAATTGCATTTATTAGCATTCCACGAATCCTAAATGACAATCTGGTCAGTCAAGGGTCTCTCCAGTCTGGCCTCAATCTAGTCTTTCTGACTTGCTTTCCATTGCTGTGGCTCACTGAAACCAGGGTTCATGGACGTTCCCATATGGAACTGCTGTCCTTCCCCACTTTCTAGACCCCCTACCGCCAACACTGTGACAGCTTTGGTTTCAGCACAAAAGCCTTCTTCTGGGTGATGCCTGCTTGTCACCTTGTGGAGTCACTCCCTTCTGCCTCTCAATATCTATTCCTTTGATCCTCGTACCAATCTTTTAATAACTAGCACGCCTGTGGTTCTCAACATTGGCTGTAAAATGTAATCCCTTGGTGAAATCTAAAACTACGGATACATGGCTCTGATCCCCGGAGATAATGATTTACTTCAAACACGATTCAGCCTGGGCACTGACATTTTTAAAAGCTTCCTGGATGGTGGCCGGGCGCGGTGGATCACAGCTATAATCCTAGCACTCTGGGAGACCAAGGCAGGAGGATCGCTTGAGCTTAGAAATTCGAGACCAGCCTGAGCAAGAGTGAGACCCCATTTCTACTAAAAATAGAAAAAATAGCCAGGTGTTATGATGGGTGCCTGTAGTTCCAGTTACTTGGGAGGCTGAGGCAAGAGGGTCTCTCAAGCCCAAGAGTTTGAGGTCACTGTGAGGTGTAACACCAAAGCACTCACCTCAGGGCATAGAGTGAGACTCTGACTCAAAAATTAATTAATAATTTATTTATGATATTTATTAATAAATTATAATATTAATTAATTCATTAAAATTAAAAGCTTCCCAGATGACTCTAATGTGCTGCCAAGATTGCACATGAACCCAGAGCCTCTCATCCAACACGGGACCAGCCACACTTCCTGAAATCCCTTGGGGAACATTTTCAAACTGCAGTACAAGCTCCTATAACCCCCGTCAACTCCACCTCCTGTACCTGACCTTACATTCTAAAGGGGTTGAGGAGAATCAGAATCACAGATGCTAAAAGTAAGAGAAAAGATATCTTTACTTTGATAGAGTTCCTAAGTGATACCGAACTGACCCTGTTTTGAAGGCCACTGTTTTAGATTTATATGTATTTGGTTTATATCATCTAGATTAAGTAAGTCTTATTCATCTTTGTATCTCTGGGAGTGTCTAGCATATACCAAGCCCTCAATAAATAAGTTAAACTTTAAGTAAGCTCACTACCATCTATACAGGAAACAATGCAGTTAGAAATTTCGTTTAAAAAATTTCCAATTTGGAGCTGCCAACCAAGCGATACCCAAATAAATAAGCACGTGAGTAGTTAAGTCCATTTGAACCATACGTGAAGAACGGGAGTAGTAAGGAACACTGCTTACCGGCATGGCATTGCTGGGATCCTCTCCATACATAAACTGGACCTTCACTGTTATGTTTCGGGCAGAACCCTGGCGATTGGCAAAATTAAGACTCTGAGGGTAAATGTAGAGAAGATTTCTGTGAAAGCAACAGTATAAATGATAGTAAATACATATTTAAAAATGCAATGTATCACTCACTAAATATAAATATTTCTACACAAAAGAAACAGCAACGTATTACTCACTAAATATCACAAAAGAAATGAATGCTGAATTATCAATATTTGTAGCCCCTTGCTAAGTATTTTCACATTAAGTGTTGTTCTTTATCCTTAGAGCAATTATTCAAATACGCAGCAATCAAATATAGCCAAATTTCACAGATGAATTGAGACCCACAAAAGTTAAACAATTTTCACGTCCAACCAAGTAGGTGACAAGGCTGAAATCAGAGACCTAACTGCTCCATGAGCTCATCTCTCCTCTGCAACAGGCTTCTGGGAAATAAAGGGGTCTGGCCTGAAATACTGTTAAGAACTTGATACACTTCTGATATCATCTTAGTTCCTCCAAGCAGATATAAATAGGACAGCATTCACAAACGGGACTTTTGTTTAAATGTGATCACAGATTTAAGAGGTGCAATTCTCATGGAGTTGTTCGAAAACACCCAGAATCAGGTACAGCAGTTCCCATGGGACACTCATGTTCTACTCTGCATTTATTTGGCTTTTGCCCAGTTTACGACCTTTCCCCTTCTGCAAACTTTTGATGGTCTCTGCTGCCAACACAGAGAAGAGAAATAATTCAAGAAAATACATCAATAAAAGTGCTGAGTAAAAAAATGGGGGCTACTTTACCTGAAAACTAGTGCTGGAAGCTGAGGAACGAGACTTCAGGTCAAGGAAGCCCAGCCATTCAAATGCTGGGCAATGAGGCAGACCTAAATTTCCTAGTGGTCGCCCGGCAATACAGAAATTTTAAATGAACACACACTTTGCCTCAACAAACTCACTTGGGAGAAAACTGCACATGTGCAAATGGTTCTGTTCAAAACTAATTTATTACAACAATTTTTATAACAGAAAATAATTAGGAGTAATTATAAAGAAACATAATGCTCACCAGCACTGGTTTGGTTAATTAAATTAAGATCTATTAATAAGAAGTCTGTCCTCAAACTGACAAGCACAGTACTGTTTACTGATGTGGCACGTTGAGAGGGGCCTGGGGGAAGCAGGTTCCAAACTTGGATCTAGAGCAGCATTGTCCTATTTCTAGAAAACTCTGTTGGGGGAAGGGGCGAGGAAGAGAGAAAGAAGGAACAGAATTGTATTCTGAAAAATAATAACGATAGCTCGAGTTTCTTTCGTCATCAATAGCAATGGCTTTAGTTTTTCTATACTTCTCTATTGTGCTTTAATTTTTGCAGTGAAAATATATGATCGTTACAATTAGAAAAACTAACAAAGTAATTTTTATGGTGGAGTGTCTTCGACAATAAACATACACTCTATAAATACAGAAATGGTTAGAGTCAGTTGTACTCAAAAAAATTCCAAAAGTAAAAAAGGCAAATATGGAAAGGTTCTGATTGGTCAGTTTGCTGATCAAAAGAACGTCAGGCCAAGGATGACCGTGACTGACTAACCACTGACGTCATCAGATATGACTTGGGCGGGAAACGTTTACCTATTTTCAGCAAATGTCAGGCATTGTGTGGGGCACCAGGGAGCCAAAGGAAGATTAATATGCCATCCCTGTTCTTGAGAAACGCAGTCTAGTGAGGCAGGGATGCCTACAAAAAGACCACTTCAAAAGAGGCTGTGAGGAAAAGAATTAGGGGTGTCCAATCTTTTCCATTTCCTCTGCTATGCAAAAAAAAAAAAGATCCACACATACTTTTCATAATATTCAACACCACAGGTAAGTACAAAAAGTCTTCACAAAATCAACACAGGGTCTGAGTCTGCAGGTTGGACCCCAGAGAGGCGCTCACCCGTCTGGGGGAAAGATTCCCCATCTTTTCTATCCTTGCAATTTATTTGTTGAAGAAAGCAGACTGTTTTGTGTACGTTTCTCCAGAGACTAGATTTCACTAATTGTAAAGACTGGTAGGGTCATTTAAGACGTTCCTCTGCATTTCTGTGAACTGAGAGTTGGACCTAGAGCCTTGGTCATACTTAGGTTTAAATTTTCTCAGCAAGAACACCTCATAAGGGATACTGTGTTCTTTTCTCAGGACGGCAATGTCTGGCTGTGTCTTTCTGTGCAGTTAGTAGCCGATGATGGTCAATGCCTAAATCCTAAGTCTCATGGGTCGTGCTTTATTATTTAACAGCGGGAACAACCCTATGGAACGCGTCTTCCCTCACCAACCACATGCTCTGCCACTCAGCCACTATGTGAGAGGCAGGAGGGAACATTTAATTCTTCTCTGTTATTGCCAGTTTTCAAAATAATAAATCGGTATACTATAATCCTTTGAGACAGATGAACTAAATCGTTTTTTGAGCATCATTTATAAACTCATGGAAGAAACATATTTGACAGATTTCAATGCACTGGCGTTATCATCCCTGTGGATAATCAAACTGTCCCATCTCTGGAAAATTAAACAAGCAATTCAAAGTGGCTTTTGAGTCTCTTCTGTGACTGAAGAGGATGTTCCAGCCTCTTCTTATAAATTTTCTCCCCCCGAACTGTAATCAGTCATTTTTCCAAGGAGCTGTGATCCTTTTAAGAAATGTTTTTTCAAACTGCAATTAAGCATCACTATGGCTTAGTCACTGTTTCTGGCCCATTTAAGTAGAAAGAGTTACAGGAAAAATCCTTTTAATATAAAAAATATATATGTTATCAGTACAAGTGCAGGACCATGAGGCTTTTACTTAGTATCTATACCATTTTGCACGCTAAGAATCATTCTCAAGGACATCAACTGTGGAAGAAACAGGATTCTATCATTTACTTATGTACAGTCTGTGTTACTCCAAGAATGGCGCTTAGGGAACTCTGGGACTCCATAGTCAGACAAAGGAGGATGAGCCTGCAGGGAAGACAGACGAGGACCCCAGAGAAGCTGGGGGGAAATCAGGAGAACACAACACAGAGAAGCCAATGGGAGAAAATAGAAGAAGAATACAACAGCTGAGTCTGCAATGCTTCTCCAAGAGCCAAAGGAGAGAAAAGAACTGAAGAATGTCAATGGGTTTAGCAACACGAGGGTCACCGATAATCCTGGGCTGAAAAAAGTTTATTAAAGTTTAATCAAATTGAAATTCTTAAAAATGTTGCTGTGAAGGATAAAAAAGATAATGTAAATTAGAGACAGAATATGGGGATTTTGAAAGTCTTTTAAAACAGGAACAGTTTGAGCTTGATTAGATCCTAATGAAAAGCATCCAGTCAACAGAGTCTGCAGAACAAGAATGTCACATTCCTGAGATGGTGGGAGAGACCAAAGCCCAAAGCACAGGGTAAGTACTGGTCCTGATACGCTAAAACTCCTCAGTGAAGGCCAGGTGTGGTGGCTCACACCTGTCATCCTAGCACTCTGGGAGGACGAGGTGGGTGGACCGCCTGAGTCAGAGTGAGACCTCATCTCTAAAAAAACATGTATGCCATGGAATATTACGCAGCCTTAAAGAAAGATGGAGACTTTACCTCTGACATGTTTACAGGGATGGAGCTGGAACATATCCTTCTTAGCAAAGTATCTCAAGAATGGAAGAAAAAGTATCCAATGTACTTAGTCTTACTATGAAACCAATTTATAGTTTTCTTATGAAAGCTATAACCTGATTATAGCCCAAGAAGGAGGAGAAAGGGGAGAGGGAGGGGAGGGGGGGAGGATGGAGGGAGGGAGGGTGACTGGTGGGACCACACCTACGGCGCATCTTACAAGGGTACTTGTGAAATTACTAGGTGTAGAATATAAAGGTCTTAACACAATAACTAAGAAAATGCCATGAAGGCTATGTTAACCAGTTTGATGAAAATATTTCAAATTGTATATAAAACCAGCACATTGTATCCCAT